AAGAAAGGTAGGGGTAGACCTAAAAGGACTTGGTTAGAAAATATTAGGAATGACCTTTCTTTATTAGATTTAAACGAGAATTTGACTTTTAATAGGACACAATGGAGAAAAAGGATTCATGTAGCCGACCCCACGTAGTGGGATAAAGGCTTGATGTTGTTGTTGTTGTTGTTGTTGGATGTTAAATAAGTAAATATAATAGTTTGAAGTGTCATGTATGTAAAAATCCCTAAATTTTTTTATTAGTAGTTAAATTTCTCAATCAACATATTAAGCTAAGCTACATTTGTTTGATAGTATCGTTAAAATAACACATAATTAAATTGAAATATATATATTTTTTGGATGTTAAATAAGTAAATATAATAGTTTGAAGTGTCATGTATGTAAAAATCCCTAAATTTTTTTATTAGTAGTTAAATTTCTCAATCAACATATTAAGCTAAGCTACATTTGTTTGATAGTATCGTTAAAATAACACATAATTAAATTGAAATATATATATTTTTATGAGGGATTTATGTACATACAACTACTTTGTATCATGCTATTTATATATATAACATTCAAAATATTAATATTTCATGTCTACCTCCCATATATTCAATATTGATGCAATAAATGAAATACTAAAATTTATTGGGTGTTATAGGTGATCAGAATGAAATATAAGAGTGACATATTTGATCTTAAAGTTGTCTATGGATGTTAGAAATTAAATATTTGATATATCATCAAAAAATTATCTTGATCGGGCACGAATCTCGAGGCAAAATCAAGCCGGAAATTTCAAAAATTAAATTCGGGATCACTTGAACTCTGATTTCAGCAAACTTATAGTCAAATTGAGCGTCTCAGAAATATGAACCCAACGACACAAAATTTGACTCAATCCGAGCCCAAATGAGTCCAAATCAAGGTCCCGAAGCATTGTTAGAAAGTTTGAACCACAAATTGAGTTATCAAACCTTTTTTAAACATGACGTGCTTACAATCGAATCGAGCGGCCCGATGAGACGAATCCAATGAGCCCAAGATTGCTGAATTCTGACATCATTAAGACCTTCAAATGTCTGACGAACGATACACGATCAAGGGATTCAATATCGGTTGTCCATCCAACCACTCTCAATTTACCTCTGATCTCTCACATATTTACAGGTCATGTCACTCCAAAATATATATAAATAGACCCTCATTTCTCTTGAGAGGAGACCCAGGCAAGAAAAAGAAGAGAAGGATTGGAGGGAAGAAACTCCTTCGCGATCATCGCCAGAATTCTGCCCGACGCCTAAGTGAAGCCGAAATTTTGCTCGAAGCCCGAGTGACGTCGGAATTCTACCCAACACCCAAGTGACGCCATAATTCTTACATGACTTTCAAGTGACGCCGGAATTCTGCTCGATCTCTAAGTGATGCCGGAACTCTACCCAACATTGTAACTGGATTTCAATCTAGAAGTGATTCATTGTAATATGATCGTCCTAAATTTCAAGGATGAGTCAGCCTCTTGTATCTCAAACAAACACTAGTGAAACTTTTTCAACTGGGCGTGACCCCGTGGTTTTTTTCCTTTCCAGGGTTTTCACGTAAAAGTCTTGGTGTTTCTTTTTCTCTCCTGTTTGTGTGATGGATATTCGTACAACGCAGAGACGAAAATTTTCTAACTCTATCGCCGCGTATATTCTAGCCTGCAACATTTTTTTTTTTGTATTTTTAATATTTTTTATTTGTTTTTTTATTTATTTTTTGATGTTAGATATATAAATAGTTGATATAAAATGACATGTTTGTAAATCTCCCAATTTTTATTTTACGTGTCAAAATAAATTTTTAATTAAAAATATTGGCTCGGAATATTTGACAATAAATTTTTAATTAAAAATATTGGCTCGGAATATTTGACAAAAAATATTATTATAAAAAAATTCAAAATAATTAAATTTTCCTTAAAATATACATGAAATGAAAGTTAATTAATTTCTAATGTATTTAATGCTACAATTAACATATTTATTATGATTAAAATTTTATCCTCATGTCTTATTCATTTTTTTATTTATGTAGATAAGATTCTATTATAAAACACCAATGCTAACTTTTAATATTTCTAACAAATAAGCTGATTGGCATCTATGATTTTTTAGAATTTAGTTATATTCACGTGTATTTGTTGTGGATAGAAGAGTACAAAGTATTGTCTTAGCAATTATACAAAGATCATGAACACATAAATAAGAGATGAGTTTAAGAATTATAAAATATATCAGAATTTTTATGTGAGAAAATCATGATGGAGAAAAATCACTTGGTTGCAAACAAAGGAAAGGGAAAAAGGATTATATAAGGGTGTCAATATTTGACGTACACTACCCGAAAATCCAACATGAACCCAAATCGAAAATTTCGGGTTAGGATCAACTCGGATCTGAAAACGGATTGGGTTTGGGTTCAACAAATCGACCCGTTTTAAAAATCGGGTCGGATTCGGGTTGACCCAGAAACCCAAATTTGACCCATTTTTTACTCAAAAATCCATTTTTTACCCGGAAATCCGAGATTGATCCATTTTTATCCTTTTTTTTACCCTAAAAACGGAGATTGATCCTTTTTTTACCCAAGTCGGCCCTGGGTCATTTAGTCGTGTTGGGTTCACTGGACCCGAAGCGGGTTGGGTTCAGGTCCGAAAAACCGACCCGTTTGCAAAAACGGGTCAAGTTCGGGTTGACCCAAATAGTGTCGTGTCAGTTTCAGATTCGACCCGAACCCTACCCGTTACCCGAAATTGACACCCCTATGATTATATCACTTTTTTTTATTGTTAGATTTATCTCATCGAGTTGTTGAATTCAATTATCAATTTGTTGAAATTGGAATTTTAATAAGCCTAAATTTAATTTTGGGAGTGTTTAATTTAAATATGCATTGAGATTCATACTTCATCAACATGAATTTTTATGACATATCAATACTATTTTTTAGTTTCAATTTTGATATATTTTTAAAGGGAAAATTTAAGCATTATAAATATTTATTAAAATATTTAAAAAATAAATTTACAATTGTAGTGTACCATGGGTGAATCGTAGAAGCCATCTTATATATGATAGTACTAGTCGAGCTATTCTTAGATGATCGTAATTAGCTTTCTTAGATGATCGTAAATGGCTGGTACACAACTCTCCTTGGCCTATTGGTTGAGAGCTTTGGCTTCCAACTAAGAGGTTCAGGGTTCGAGTCTATATGATTACGTTGTGTGTATGAGTTTGCCTTAAATGGCCTAAATGTCCAAAAAAAAAAAAAGTAAATAGCTGGCATAGTGAGATAAACTATCACATGCTTGAATTGAAGTAACATACAAAATAAAATAGAGTTATTTACTAACATTAATTGAAGTGTACTTAACACAATATTTATTTACTTATAATAATAAAATTTGTATGCAACTTACATGTTTTTTAATGGACAAAACAATCATGCAAATCTCTTAGTCACTCAACATGTTTTACTTTTAAAATTACAAACTTAACACACATTTTTTCTCTCTGAGACTTTCTATATCTCACATCTCATCCTTTGGTTGATTTGAGCTTTGTAAAATACTAATATTATAAGTGATATATCATCGAAAAATTATCTTGATTGGGCACGAATCTCTAGGCAGAATCAAGTTGGAAACTTCAAAAATTAATTTGGAGACCGTCTCAACTTTGATTTCAGCTAACTTATAGTCGAAATGAGCGTATTGGAAATACGAACCCAACGACACCAAA